TGTGTGCCAGACATAGTTAGTTCTGAGCTCTAGGGATAAAACATGGGCAGAGTCCCTCCTTACAGGCTGTCTTAGTTTGCTCTGGCTGCTATAACAAAATGCCATAGACTGGGTAGCTTATAAACAACACATTTATTTCTCACAGTCAAGAATCAAGGCACCAGCAGATTCAGTGTCTGATGAGAGCCCACTTTCAAGTTCATAAATAGCACCTTCTGGCTGTGTCCTCACATGGCAGAAAGGACAAGACATATCTCTGGGGCCTCTTTTATAAGGGGACTAATCACACTTATGAAGGCTCCACATTCATAATCTGATCACAGCCCCACTGCCTAATACCATCATTGGTGATTAAGCTTCCACATATGAATTTTGAGGGGACACAAACATTCAGACCATAGGACTGGTTCATGGGAAAAATAAAAATAGAAGAATACTTAAACTATAGGGAGATGGATATATGTATTTTTAAGGAAATTCAAAGGAGAGAGTGATTAGTTTGGGAGTGAATCAACAAAAGCATTTTGATTTTGTGGCTGAGGGTAAGCATAAAGCAGGTTTTTTAGTGGAAAATTTGAAGAAAGCCATTGTGGGTAGAGGAAGTGACAGGTACCAAAAAATCAGAAGTATGAAATGTCAGATGGTAACAGAGAAACAAGCTTATCAATATTTTTGAAAGAAAAAGATGAGAATGAAAGAGTAGAATGAGCCATAGTTTCAAAGTATGTTGCCTTTTTTTTCTTTTGAAGTAATAGACTATGCATTCATTTGTTAGTTTTTAATTCTCAAACTTTGTTGTTCACCTAAGGGAAGCTATGTAATTTTTAGTAAGACTTCTATTATCATAGCAATTAATAGCATATACACATGTAAGAGTGAATATTATGAAAATGCCTACTCTTGGTAAGAGTATGGAATATTGTTTGTGGGTATGTGAATTGTTAAAACCACCTTGGAAAATCATTCTTAATATGTAAATGGGAACATATGTATATCCCATAACCCAGCATTTTCACACTTGGATGTGTACCAGAGAAACCCTTGTACATGCGTATCATGAGGCCTATATAGTATTGTTCATAGCAATATTTTTTGAAATAGCAAAAAGTTAGAACAACCCAGTCATCCATAGAGAATAGATGGATAAATTGTAGTGTTTTTATTCTAGCTCTTCCACTGAGTAACTTTTATTTTAGGCAAGTTACTTAATCCCTCTGAGCTTTAGTTTCTTCTTATGGAGTAGAAAGATAATAGTACTATCTACCTCAAAGGATTGTTGTGGGGATTAAATGAGTTACCCCATGCAAAGTATTTGGCACGACACCTGACACATAGAAAATGTTCAATATATTTTAGCTACCATTGCTACACAGAGGTGAAAATGGTTGAAATATTGCTATACATGTCAACACGAATAAACTTCAGTTAAAAAAACTGAACAAAAACAAATCTGTCGGCCAGGCACAGTGGCTCACGCCTGTAATCCTAGCACTCTGGGAGGCCGAGGCGGGCGGATTGTTTGAGCTCAGGAGTTCAAGATCAGCCTGAGCAAGAGCGAGACCCCGTCTCTACTAAAAATAGAAAGAAATTAATTGGACAACTAAAAATATATAGAAAAAAATTAGCCGGGCATGGTGGCGCATGCCTGTAGTCCCAGGTACTCGGGAGGCTGAGGCAGAAGGATCGCTTGAGCCCAGGAGTTTGAGGTTGCTGTGAGCTAGGCCGACGCCACGGCACTCTAGCCCAGGCAAAAAGAGTGAGAGTCTGTCTCAAAAAAACAAAAACAAATCTGTCCCATGCACGATGATATTAGTCAAAAAAAGCTCTGTAGCTAAATATTGTTTAGGGATGATACTTGTGTAGCAAAACTAAAGAAGACTAAAAAGATAGAAAAAAAATGACTTCAGGATAGTGTTTACCTGCTGGGTAACTAAATGGTAGTGGATATTAATATGGAGAAACAGAGAATTATTAGTTGTATTGGTATGTTCACTTTTCTTAAGTTGGGTCACAAGTGCTCACATTTGTTTTATTATTCTTTGTGTCATTACATATATAGAGAGACCTTTATATATAAAATATTTCCTTAGAAAACCCATGAGTCCCCTGGTTCTAGCCTCAGCTTCCTAGAACTATATCAGTGGTTTGGTGTGTATACTTCCTGGTATTTTAAAAATATAAATATAAATCTATCCATCCTTCTACCGGTTAGACTATTGGGATCATGCCATACTGACTGTTCTGCACTTAGCTATTTTCACTTAACAGTATCTTGTGAGTACTGCAAAATCTTTTTAATAGCTGCATGGAATTCTATCATATATATGTCATGATTTTTAAACCAATCCCCCTGCTGATGGAGTGATTCTTTTTTTCTTTTCTCTTTCTTTGTTAAAAATAGTGCTACTATGAGTGTGTGTGTGTGTGTGTGTGTGTGTGTGTGTGTGTGTGTGTGTGTCTGTGTCTATATATACAGTCAGTTTGTCAAAGTAGAATTGCTACATCAAAAGGTTTGGATTTTTTTTCAGAGGCATCGTCAAATTGCATCCTGACCAACAGTGCAAAAATTATTCCTATTTCTCCATACCCTTGCCAACATTGAGTATTATTAATTACCTATTTTTTACATCTTTCCTAGTTATTATATAATAATGGCATGATATTTGATATGCCTTTCATTGAATGAAGTTCAGCATATTTTCATATATTTATTGCCCATTTCTTTTTCTTACGAAATAAAATTGAACTTTATCTTTTAAGTTTGTGTTTCCAGAGTAGAGAGGGCCCATTCCTACGAACTGTGTAAATTAGGTATCTTATGCAAGGGTTCTTCAGGCAATATTGATTCTCTTCCCTGTCCTCTTGAGTATGTGCCCAGTCTCCCAACAAATCTTTGGTAATGGGAAACCTTAGAAGGGTTTTAAATAGAAAAAACAACAGATTTGCATGAGGAATGAGGGGATAAAGACTAGAAACAAGGAGATCACTTAGAAACTTACTGAAACAAGACAGGCAAAAAAAGATAATGAGAGCTTGCATTGGGACAGCAAATAGTGGATATTGAGAAGAGGAAATTAATTTGAAAAACTCAGAAGATTAGCTTGTTTAGAAAATTATTTTATTGACATAAAGAGATATTCTTCATGAGTCCAGAGGGGTTTGGGCAAGGGTATAGTATGTCTCAGTTCGTTATTTCAGATGAAGAGGAAAAAATGTATTTAAGCTAAAAAGTGATTGTATTGTATTTTAAAATATGATTTGGGTGGGGCCTGCCTCTCGTCCCAGCTACTCTGGATCCTAAGGCAGGAGGGTCACTTGAAGCCGGGAGCTTAAGGACAGCCTGGATAACATAGTGAGACCCCATCTCTTAAAAACAGAAAAAGAAAAAAATAGGAATAGAATTGTTGTTAAACTTGCATCATTCTAGCAATAATTATGTTCATTCATGGACATATGAATTAGTTGGAAAAAAATGTTTAGTCTCATTAAGAGTTACGCCTCCAACAAAATTTAAAGTAATACATTATGTTTCTGAAATGTATCAAAAGGGGTAAAGTATCAATATGTATGATAATTAGATTTTAAAATGATCATGTACAAGTAAACGAGCTTAAAAATTGGAAAATTACTCATACCATAAGAAGGAATGTTAATTCATTTTATTTTCTTCCAACCTTTTATCTTTTTAGGACTATGATAATACTGTAAATAAAATTTTATATACTGACTTTTTAAAACTAAACAGTTCCCACATGGTTGGGAACTCTTTCACAAAATACGATTCACAAGCCTAATTTCAAATGACCACACGATATTCCATTTAGTGAGCATATGATAATATACTTACCTGTTCCCTTATTATAACACATTTAGGTCATTTCTTCCTTTTCCAGTAATTTAGCATTAACTGTCACAACACATTAGGACAACTGTTATGAAAATTAGGTAAAAATGATTGGTTTTGACATAGTTAATTTTAAGTGACAGTAGATTCTCATTGCTTCTAAAAGTTTTAAAAGTTTCTCTACTCCTCTGATACAGTAATAGCTTTTAGTTTTCAGAATGTATTCACTTATATTATTATCTCACTAGATTCTTAGGACAATCCAGTGTCATAAAACAGCGTAAGTATTATAATTATTTTGTAATTGAGAAAACTGAATGCTAAAGAAATTAAATGGCAAAGGCTATTTTTTGTTCCAGAGCAAGAACTAGAACTTACATTTATAAATTTAAAATATCTTAGTCATTTTATGAATTTTATTGGTTAATTTTAGAAGTAACACCAACAAAATTTTTAAAATCTTTTTTTAGTTTAAAAAAGAAAACTTATAAAGATCTAAACTCATTAGCCCTATAGTGATTACTCTGAATTATTTTAGAATAAGCCAGCGAAAGTATTTTAGCCATTTTTACTTGGCTGTCAACATTTCTTCTCAAGTAAATGTACAAAAATGAGGAAAGAAATAGCAAATAGTTATCCTATTTCTTTAAAAAAACTAAATGAAATGAAACCCTTCTGAGACTTTCTGTTTTGTAGTGTGCTAAATTTTATTTCCTTGACATTTATTTCATAGAAATTATTGTTTATGACATTTTAAAAGCATATCTTTAGTGACTGTCAGTGATTATGTACCTAAGTCTCTTATACATAACTTAAATCCTTCTAAGTAATCAGCAAGTTCAGAATAATTTATTCATTCACTTATTCAACAAGTGTGTAGGCTACTGTTGTCTTCCTTCTTTCAATCCACTATATCAACAGCATTGTTCTTGGTATATACTTTTTTTTTTAACTTGCAAAATTGGAATTACTGATTTGTATTTTCTTTCTAATAACTTCTTCATTTTCTATGTACATGCATTACTTTTAGTATAGTTAAAAGGTTACTAGATATCTGTTTGGTATGGCATGGTTAGCCTTTGAATTCTTTATTTTCATTAAGAAAGGCCATTGTTTTTACTCTGGCAACTAATGAGTTGAGCGTTGTTCCCATTAGGCAACCGAAGTGGATACTTCCAGTTCTCTAGTGAAGGATCACCTTTTCCAGCAAGAGACAGTTGTTACCAGTGAGCCTTATAGAAGCTCAAATGTAAGACCTTCTCCCTTTGAAGATCTGAATGCCAGAAGAGTCTACATGCAAAGCCAAGCTAATCAGGTGAGAATATTTTTCATCATGTTATTTGTGTGTGTAGAAATTGGATGATGTGTTAAACAAGGATATTAAAACTATCTGCCCTTCACCATGCAAAATAAACAACAAAAAAAGCAAAACCAAGAGATTAGAATTTATAATGAATCAAATCCAGAGTAAGACAACAAACATACAGACCATAACGTCCTATATACAAACATCCTTGAAAAGAAAAAATAGTCTGAAACAAAAAACAGTGCCTATGTTTGAGACACCCATAGAGAATTGGCATTTAAATGCTAGCTTAGGTTTTTCTCTCCTTTAATGCTTAACAGGCATTGTCAGTGTTTGTCTTTGACTCATTTTAATGTCTCCATGTGCGATTTAAATCCTTTGGATAGATAGGTACAGTGTTTCAAAATGTTAATACACTCAGGTTTTAGTTAAGTTTTATAAGCCCGGAAGCCATTATAGCTCTTATTCTTAATTTCTCTTACTTTCAAGTTCCTGGTGGTCATTTCACTATAGACAAATAAGGCAGCATGTATCATTGAGCTCATGATCAAAGATTTATGACATATTTAATACACAGAAAGGAATATATGCACTGAACACTTGAGAAGCCACCAAAAACGTTAAAAAAAATATACCCCTTATCTATGCCCTTGCCTTCATCCTAGAGGTAACCATTACCTTGAATTTTATTTGTTTAACATTCTCATGCTCTTCTTGATAGTTTGCTACTTGTTTCTTTTTCTTCTGCCAGTGGATGTTTCAGTTGTTGTTAGGTTTTTGTCATTATTAGGCATACTGCCAGTACAAACTTTCTTGTCCCCATTTATTCACATACAAGAGTTTCCTTAGGGTAAGAGTGGGCTCTTGATGTTGATGTGCTAGAAAAGGCTCTTGAACGAATTAGACTATAGGATTGATGTGTGCCGTATGACCAAGGGGTGTGTATTGAAAATTCGAAGACTATAGAAATAATTGTGATTGTTCCTTTACAAATTGTTTTTGACTACATACTCTTAGATAACCTTGTTACTGAGTAATAAAATTCTCAGTGTCACTTCTCTGTGTATTCTAGGTACAGATCCTTTTTGAGTTTTATTTGTGGCCAGTATCTCCTAGTTTGTGATTGTTTTTTACTCTATGATATTTTGGTGAACAGACATTCTAAATTTTATTGCAATTGAATTTATCATTCTTCTCCTTGTATTGTTTTTACAAACTCTCTATATGTTTGGGTCTATTTCTGTTCTCTCTTCTGGTCTCTTGGTCTATTTGTCCTTGCACCAGTGCAATATTGTCTTCATTAAAATAGAATTACTATAGCTCCATAACAAGTCTTAGTATCTGTAGAGCAAGTGCCCTAACTTTGTTTTTCCTCTTGGCCTTCTTTTGGGGGGGATGGGGCAGGGGGCGGGGGCTGTTTCCCCTTAATCAGTTTGTTGAGTTTGATGAAAAATTCTTCTGTGGTTTATCTTTGAATTGGACTGAATCTATTTATTAGTTTGGAGGATAATTTAGTCTTATTCATGAATATAATATATCTCTTTATTTAGCTCTTTTTCTATATTTCTCAATAAAACTTCACACATTTTCTTTGTGAAAATATACATCTTTTATAGGATTATTCCTTTGTACCATTTAGTGTGTTGTCATAAGTGGAATCCTTTTAAAATTTAATTTGTGACCAACTTTTAAGAAATATCTCCTGTAGCTTTTTCAGCTGATAAATTCTCCTAAAGATTATAGCAATAGCACCAAATTCCCAGGGTGTTAAAAAGTGGTGATTAATTTGGGTGTATCTTATAACATCTGTGTAAGTAAGTATAAAAAGATCAACATTGTCCATTTGTCTTTTTACTTAGGGATCGTGTGAGAAAACTAATATTTATAGACTCTGTTGACTCAGGTAGTTTTCCAAAGTGTATATGTGTTTAAGTAGTGTATGTCTCTTTTCTGGGACAGTAAAATTGGGATAATAAGTGAAAAGGTGGACATTTTTACTTTTTAAAATAGATCTCAAGAATATATATTTAATATATAATTGAGGTTATTGTATTCTATCAGGAAAAAAATTTTTTCTCTCTACTTTTCCATAATGCTGTTCTGAGGTTTTTGGTTGGTTTTTTTGTTTTGTTTTGTTTTGTTACTTATCCAAATACTTAGCTCTCATTCTGTGTTTACATGAAGTGTCATTTCCTTTATGAAGCCTTCTCAGACCATTTAATCCATAGGAATTTATTCCCCTATTAATTTCCAAATTCTTACATAGTCTACCTATTAACATAGAAAACTATCCATAATGTATCATTAAGTGCAAAAACCAAGGGCACAATACAAAGCATCCGTTTTTAAAGATCCATATATTTGCTTGTGTGTGTGTGTGAGTTTTTTTTTTTTTTTAAAAGAGACGGGGTCTCACTCTGTCACCCTGGCTGGAGTGCAGTGGTATGATCATAGCTCACTGTAACCTCGAACTCCTGGGCTGAATTGATCCTCTGGCCTCAACCTCTTGAGTAGCTGAGAATACAGGTGCATACACCACCATGCCCAGCTCATTTTTAAATATTTTGTAGAAAGGTGGTCTCCTGTTGTCCAGGCTGTTTCCAGACTCCTGACCTCAAGCAATCCTCCCACCTCAGCCTCTGAAAGTGATGGATACCACCACGCCCAGCTAATTTTTTCTATTTTTTGTAGAGATGGGGGTCTCGCTTTTGTTCAGGCTGATCTCCAATTCCTGACCTCAAAGAGTCCTCCTGCCTTGGCCTTTCAAAGTGATGGATTACTGGCATGACCCACCACACCCAGCCTAAAATTTTTTAATGCTAGTTAACTTGTAGGACTGGGACTGAAGTTCTGAGATGAAGATTTTTTCTTTCCATGCTCTTGTACAGTTTGAAATTTTTGCCATGTACGTATATTACTTTTTATGTTCAGGGTTATAGTTTTATTACGTTGTAACAGTGAGATTTGGATCAAAATGCTACAGAAAAATAATCAAGAAGAAAACAAGATTGTCAAAATGTTGAAGCTAGATGATAAACGTGGGGATTCATTATATTATTCTCTTTTTGTGTATATTTGAAATTTTCATTATAAAATAAAAATTAAACTGATAAATTTTAACTATAATCTAGCTTTGAAATCAACTTTGCAATTAAAAAATCTAATAAATATATCAGGACACTAAATGTCCCTATAATTTTTTTAATCAAGATATAATCCATGTACCATTAAAAGGAATGTATAATTCGGTGGTTTTTAGTATATTCATGAGATTGTGCAACCATCACCAGTATTGAAACATTCCTAAAACATTGTTATCAACCAAAAAAAACCCCATACCAATTAGCAGTCAGTGCCCCTAGTCCCCTAGACACTGGCAACCACTGTTGTGACATGTATTCAGACTTTATTTCTTTTTGTGGTTGAGTAATATCCACTCTGTGGATCTTTGTTTACCCATTGGTTAGTTGATGTATATTTGGATTGTTTTTACTTTTTTGGCTATGTATTACTTGTTAAAGTTTAAACGTGTAAGAAAAGACCTGTTTTTTTTAAGGTGAGGGGATGATTCAATGCTTTTTATCAAAACCATTTTGAAAAACTTCACTACCAAGAGGTTATGAAGTTTTAGAATGTCCACTGTATATGGTTTCACTAAAAGTAAGAAATTGTTTGTATTTTAGATAACATTCAGTCAACCAGGCCTAGATATTCAGAGCAGAAGTATGGAATATGTACAGCGGCAAGTATCCAAGGAATGTGGAAGCCTAAAGTCCCAAAATAGGGTAAGTAATGTTAGTTTATCTTCTGATATGGTATATAACTAATTAGTATATAGGTGAAATTTTCCAGTCCTTCTAATTCTCCATATAGTTGAATTATACTAGAAAATTTTTCATTGTAAAAATTTTCTGCATATATGCTTATAAACTCTGTTACTTAAACTCCATCCAAACTTCTCATTTGAATCTAAGGGGTTGCACAGCTGTATTTTTCACCACATAGAACCAAAAGGAATTGTATATTGTTAATTTAAAGGACTGCATCCATCATCCTGCTTTTAGCCCAGACCTGGAATTTTTTAGCCCCAATTCTAGATATCTGGAGAATAGAAAGAAGTTTGCCCCCAACCTGGTTCAGGTGCTTACTTGTAAACTAGTCACTATGTTTAGGGACTGGAACTAGGAGATACAGATTTGCCTACCTTTATGATGACGGAAAGTTTCAAAAGACTTAATTTTGTTCCTTGGCCTCAAAGAGGTAATCTATCCAGAGGGATTAAAGGGGAGGGGGGCAGGGGAGTCATTTTTCAGAGACTTTCTGTATAACCAAGTTATAAATATATCTGTCCTTGTATTAATTTGCTAGGGCTCTCATAACAAAGTACCACAAATTGGGTGGCTTAAGAACAGAAATTTATTTTCTCACAGTTCTGGAGGCTGGAAGTTCAAAATCCAAGGTATCAGCAGGTTTGATTCTTCTGGGGCCTTTCTACTTGGCATGCAGATATCCACCTTTTCACCGTGTCCTCACATGGCCTTTGCTCTGCACATACGTCCCTGGTGTCTTTCTGTGTCCAAATTTCCTCTTATGAGAATACCAGCCAGATTGGATTCAGGTCTACCCTAAGGGCCACATTAGTCATCTCTTTTAGGGCCCTATCTCCAAATACAGTCATATTCTGAGGTACTGGGGGTTAGGCGTCAACATATGAATTTGAAGAGGACCCAGTTCAGCCCATAACGTTCTGCCCTCTGGCCGCAAAATTCCTGCCCTTCTCACATGCAAAATACATTTCACCATCATCCCAGTAGCCCCAGAGTCTTACCCTACTTCATCATTAATTAAATCCCAAATCTCATCTAAATATCATCTCTTAATCAAGTATGGGTGGGAGTTAGGGTATGATTCAGCTCGAGGCAAGATTTCCTCCCTAGCTGTGAACATGTGAAACCAGACAAGTTATTGGTTACAAAATACAGTGGTAGGAAAGGCTTTCAAAAGTGAGAAATTTAAATGAAGAAAGGTATTATGGGTCCCAAACAATTTCAAAACCTAACAGAGAAAATTCCATTGGATTTTAAGCCTTTAAAAAGATGTTATGATTTTTTAAGATTTTAGGATTATGAATAATCCTCTTTGGCTTAATGCTCTGTCCTCTGGGCCCACTGGAATGGTAGCCTCAGCCCCTCAGCCCTAGTTGTCAGCATCACCCCTGAGGCTCTGGCCCACTGAAACTCAGGAGTTGGGCCCACTCTTTGGAATTGAGGAGACAGCTTGCCTTCAGGTCATTCTTGCCTTGTTCTGCAGGATAACATGTGTTCACATCCACATAGCTTCCTTGGCCCATCCTGTAGAATTCTAGAAGTCTGATGGCCCTTCCTTCATTTTGTCCTTCCTCTGTTTCCTTCAGTCCAAGTTCGCAGCATTTCACGTTTTTTTGTTTTGTTTTGTTTTGTTTTTTTGAGACAGAGTCTGGCTCTGTTTCCCTGGCTAGAGTGCCATGGCGTCAGCCTAGCTCACAGTAACCTCAAACTCCTGGGCTCAAGCGATCCTCCTGCCGCAGCCTCCCGAGTAGCTGGGACTACAGACACAAGCCACCATGCCCAGTTAAGGGTTTTAAGAATTGTGTGCTAGAGACAGCGTTTTGCTATCTTCTAGGCTAGTCTCGGACTACTGAGCTCAAGCGATCCTTCCCCCTCTGCCTCTCGAAGTGCTAGGATTACAGGCGTGAGCCACCGCGCCCGGCCATTTTACGTTATCTTTTGATTGTCCGGCTACACCTAGGTGTTCTCTCTAGAACTGAGGTCCCCAACCCCTGGGGTTGCAGACCAGTACCAGCAGTCCCTGGCCTGTTATGAACTGGGCTGCAGAGTTGTGCCTTCCCGCCCCTCCATCTGTGGAAAAATTGTCTTCCATGAAACTTAGAAACCAGCCCACACAGCAGGAGGTGAGTGGCAGGCAAGCGAGCACAGCTTCAACTGTATTTGCAGCTGCTCACCGTGGCTCACTCGGATCACTGCCTGAGCTCCACCTCCCCACCACCCCCCCTTCATCCCACCCCATCTGTGGAAAAATTGTCTACTATGAAACTGGTCCTTGGTGCCAAAATGATTGGGGACCACTGCTCTAGAACATGCTTTCTCATTTTTTGCAATTTGGATAGACTGAGAATTTTCCAAATCTTTAAGTTTGGTTCTTTTTTGCTTAACTATTCCTTCTTCAATTTTTCTCTCTCTTCTCAAATTTTACTGTAGGCAGCAAAGAGAAAGTAGGCCACAGTTCAACACTTTGCTTAGAAAAATCTGCTAAATATCCAGGTTCATCACTCACAAGTTCTACCTTCCAAAAAGCACTGGAACACAACTTAGCTGAGTTCTTTACCACTTTATAACAGGGATCGCCTTTCTTCCAGTGTCCAATACGTGTTCCTTATTTCCATCTGAGACCATATCATAGACACCTTTAAAGTTCAGATTTCTACCAACAGTCTCCTCAAGGCTCATTCTAACATGCATCTCAAAACTCTCAGCCTCTACCCATTACCCAGTTCCTAAGCCACTTCCACATTTTTAGATATTTGTAACGGTGGCAACCCACTTCTTAGCAACAAAATCTGTATTTGTGAAGGCTCTGCAGAGAAACAGAACATATGTAGATAGGTAAGATAGATAGTTTTATAGTATTCTAAGGAATTGGTTCCTGTGATAATGGAGATACAAATCCAAAATCTGCAGGGTAGGCTGGCTGGAGACCCAGGAAAGAGTTGCCATCTCCAAAGGCAGCCTGCTAGCAGAATTCCTTCTTGCTCAGGGGGAGATCAGTCTTTGTTCTGTTAAGGCCTTCACCTGATTGATCGACTGAGGTCCACCCACATCACGGAATGTACTGTGCTTTCGGCCATAGTCCACCAATTGAAATGTTGATGTCATCCAAAAAACACATCATAGAAACATCCAAAATAATATTTGAACAAATATCTGGGCCCTGTGGCCCACCAAGGTGACACACAAAATTAACCATCATAGTCCTTATTGCAGTTTTCATTTCTTTCCTTAGGTCCCTTTGAAATCAATCAGACATGTCAGCTTTCAAGATGAGGATGAGATTGTCAGAATAAACCCTCGAGATATCTTAATACGTCGTTATGCAGACTACAGACATCCTGATATGTGGAAAAATGACTTGGAGAGAGATGATACTGACTCCAGTATTCACTTCCCTAAACCAGACAGTAAAAAATCAGACTATCTGTACTCTTGTGGGGATGAGACTAAGTTAAGTTCACTCAAAGACTCTGTGGTATTTAAGGCACAACCTTCCTCATTAAAATTTAAGAAGTCAAAACGAAGAAAAGAGGATGGTGAACGTTCTCGCTGTGTTTACTGCCAGGAGAGGTTTAATCATGAAGAAAATGGCAGGGGAAAATGTCAGGATGCTCCAGACCCTATTAAAAGATGCATATATCAAGTTAGTTGCATGCTCTGTGCAGAGAGCATGTTGTATCATTGTATGTCAGACTCAGAGGGAGATTTTTCTGATCCCTGTTCATGTGACACTAGTGATGACAAGTTCTGCTTACGATGGTTAGCCCTGGTAGCTTTGTCTTTCATTGTACCATGTATGTGCTGCTACGTCCCTTTGAGAATGTGCCATCGCTGTGGCGAGGCGTGTGGTTGCTGTGGTGGGAAACATAAAGCTGCTGGATGAAATGATCCAGCGCCAAAATGAGCTTAAAATCTTTGTTTCCAGGAATTAGCTAACTTGGATTTGTGGAAGCTTTTGGCAAGCAATATGGAATCTTGCCTGGTATCATTGGGGCCACACGTGGAGGAAGCAGAATTCGTCAGTTCTTGGCATTTCACAAATGCTAGCCATGCCTAACTTTTTCCCTTGAGTGCATGGCATGTTTTGTTACAGGTTGTAGTATTTGCAGAAGGAAACCATTTCTGGTTATTGGCTATAAAAAGTCAGCATAAAATATGATCCAACTAAAAGGGATTAATTTTTTGGCATTTTTGTATATTTATGCTTTAGGTGATGGGACTTTTAAAGGTTTGAATTTATTAGGACAAGAACTAAAAATAAAAGTGCACTAGGGAACAGTTGATTTCAATCTAAGAAAAGTTAACACTTGGAAATTATAAGAAGTAAAACAAGTGCAACTAAATCATTTATTAGTTGTTTTTTGAAAGCAGTTTTATGTATAAATAACAAATGTTTATATTTAACTAAATGTAAGGTACGAATTATTACATATTAAACTTTTCTTCCCCTTCCTAGTTCTGAAGTAGATATACATCTGTCTACTGTCACATTCCATATATTTTGAATATTTAACTCATCTAGTTAACGTTTTTATTCCATGTGAATGATTTGATATTTTCATCCTCATTTCTCTTTGGCTACAATTTATATTGAGTTATGTCTGTACATTCTGATAATCTAAAGTCCTTAAAAATATTCTAATAGCCTTGAGTGACCAACTTTTTTTAAAGCACAGATGTAATTGTCTAATGTTCTGATGGGAACGTAACACTTATTTTTATATAAAGAGAGACTGAGTAAACATAGAAAAAAGTGAGGTTTTTTAGTTGTTTGTTTTTTGTGGTATTCAACCAGCAAGTTGTTTTCTTTCAGAGTTTCCTCCTTCAAAAAATCATACTGCATTTACAAATGTTTTACAAGGCGAAAAGTGTAACTGGATAGTTATTGTAAAAGTTTCCTCTTGAGATCTCCATTTATCATTCTGCTAACCCAGAATATGTTCAGCTGTGTTACTAATTTTTTTAACTTAATCCTCAGTACTTATTATTTACATAGCAATGATAGCTTTTCTCAGTTGCATTTTATTTTTATTTAAACTGGCCAAAAGCAGAATTATTTTATGTTAAAATGTGTGCTAAACTGTCCTAGGAAAGTATTTAATCCAACATTGTGAGTGAAATACCTTGTACATATAAATTTATTTCTTTTGCAGAGCATTATATTACTGGATGTTTAATTTACAAAATAGTTGGATAAATGTTCCGACAAACTGTTTTAAGTACCTTGAGGTCATTTTTTTTTGTAAGTGTTACATTAAAACTCTAACCAAGGAAAGGGTTCTTTAAGAACATTCCCTTAGAGGGATAAAGTTGAGAAGTGTGCCTTTTTTTTTTTTTTTTTTTTTAATGGCTTGAAGTTGACGGTTCAGAGGTGATAAAAATTAAAATCACACTACCATTGGAAGCTAATTTTCTATGCAGGTTTTTAAATGTCATTTATGTATCATTCTTTTTATATATCACACTTAAGCCTGTGTTCCCTTTCTTCTTTTTGCGCCAGATCAAACTGAACAATGTATATAACACTGTCTGTAAAATACTTTTTTTTAAGAAAGCATTTATATTTATATGACAGCTTGAACTGACAACATTGTGTATATAGATCATCTTGAAGTATTATTTCACATTGAAAAGAAGAAAAATATATTGATAACTATAGATGTTATGAAGAAGAGGGTATTTCTAGTTTTGTACTAAAAATCAATTGGATGAACTAAATCCAAAACATGACATTGTAGCAGCGATTTTAAGTCTTATTTTTACTGTTTGTATATTTGAATGCTGCTACACCAGATGATCTTCATCCCTGAAGTTTTCAGCTAAACTTGGTTTCCTAGAATAGACTGTTAACTTTCAAAATTAGTTTTTATTGGTGAAATGGAAATATTGGTTTTCCTCGTGAAAGAATTTTGATATTTGTAAGTGCTGAGTTTGTAATTCAGGTTTGAGCAAGGTGTGAATAACTGAAGAAAATAACTTGCTGGCTATATAGGAAAATGCTGTGGAAGTGAACTGTGTATATACTTCTGGGAAGAACAAATTAATCATTTCTTCTGTTAAGCACTAATCAGTATAGTGCAACTCCTGGTTCTGTACTGTATTTTATATGCGACATATATGCTTTAATATTTTAATGTTTGTGCATTAATATTTTCAATTTGTTTAACCACTTTGCTGCTAAGATTTTGCCGTCCCATTCCCATTTTTTCCTTTACAATTTTAAATAAGTTTCTTCATTAAAAACTATGGTGACGAAATGGTTTTTATTTCACCTTGGATCTTTATAGTTAAAACACCCAGTCTCCAAATCAGTCTAGAAGACTAACTGGTGATATACTGTTACCTGAATCCCTGTGTGGAAATTTTCTCTTGAGTGAATTAGAATTCCTTTGTGAAAACAAATGGGTAGTTTAAGTCTCTGATTTTTAAACGTGTGTAGGTACATTCAGGAGGATTTTCTCATTCTCTCCACAAATTTGGCACTGCCTGCCAATTGGCTTTTCCTCTAAAACTTTTCTTTGTTTTTAATCTTAGCATAAGCAAATGGCTCAACAAAACTGCTTAAGTAATAGTAAATATTGAAGTTGAAATCATCTAGATGGCATAAGAAGAAAAACTTTGCTCTGATGAGCTCGTTTTTTTCAGAGTAATGATACTTCTGTCTTGAAAAGAGGAATTATTTGATTTGTGAAGAAATATGCGATGTGGAGCTTCAGCACCACCTACTGGATGATTTCCAGACCAGAAACACGAGATGGCAATAGGGATCTGACAGGGATCATCACTTACCACCAAAGGGCTATTTGAGTGGTGGCCACCTCCTACCAGCAAAACCAGGAGTAAGAAATATCTCAAAGGAACTTTAAAATGATTCTTTTCCCTAATGTATCTCATTGGCCCACTGAAAGATTTCAAGGACTTTTGTCTTACATATCCTGTTTTAAAATATTTATTGATATTTGGGACTGGCAATCAGTCTTAATGGATGTGGTGAGACATTTATAGAACCAGTTCCTTTAACTCTGAAAAACCATTACCAAAATGGTATTCTTATTTTTCCTCCCATTGCCAGTCAGGGAGAATTAAAAAAAACAAAAAAACCATAACCACCTGTATTTCATTTTGAATTTCAGAGAGAGTGTGTGTATGTTTCTGAGATAATGATGGGGCAGGGGTAAAATTTAAAGGGAAAGACTCGAAACTACCTATTTTCATTGGTTGTTCAGCAGTGCCTAAAATGAGCTTTTGAAATAATACAAATGCACTTTCAATTCATGTGTATAGTGCCATCTGATATCTTGGGTAAGTCTGGCTTTTTCTTTTTCCTCTCCCCTTCTCCCTTAATTGAATGGCACAGAGATGTTTCTTAATATCCACGTAAGTCTACAGAGTACAGGAAATATGTACTTCTAGATGGGCAAGGTAAAGAACTTTAAGGATATTTCTCTTGTTGAAATTTACTGTAGGTTTTGTGATTACACTTGGAAATATGTGTTTAAGATTGGATTTTTAGTTGTAGCCCAAAGGTGCATTCAGCAAGTGTAACATTTTTCTACATGAAGCTTAGAAAACTTTTGTTACCTGAAAACACAGATTCTTTACTTAGTATTCTCATTCTTGATTTGATCTCTATGATCACATTTTTAAGTATAAGAGAAAGCACTAGAAATTTGGATTATTGTTGCACTAAAAAAATTAAACTATAAATTATGATAATAGCACCATAAGGTGTTTCACAGTGAGTCAAACATTAAAAAAAAAGAATGTTTAAGAAAAGAAACACAACCTGAGGTAATTAATACAAACCAAAAACAAAACAAAAGGGCTTTAAGGTATTAAGGTACTGTTTGCCTAGCAGCCAGGTGGTTACAAAACTTTCATATGCTTTGGTACACTGATAAATGTTAGCCATTGTTCCTGAAAGCTTCTTAAATTGCATAAATTGTTAGTTTTGAAATTTTTCAAGAATAATCTAGTTGAAAAGCCTTTGTATGAAAAATACTCATAGATTTTTGTGAACCTTTCCAATGTGTAGTGTCATTTGCTTTCTATTCCTGATCTCAAAAGTGCCTCACTTGTATATTATTTCCATTAAAAGCTTGACTGCATTCTTTCTAATAAGCAATGAAAACTGTTTAACTCATGTCATGATGTATCTCCTCAGATATAGTTAACTAGCTTGATAGTTTTGAATACATATTGTAAATATGCATATATAAATTTGTAACCATTTTTGTTACATCATACCCATGTAATTGGACATATCAGATGATATCATAAGAATTTGTTTTAATGGCTTCCCCCCCACCCCATCCCAGAATTACCTAATTAAACCTATCATGAAATATTAAAGGACTTTTTCTTACTCTTCTAGAGCATATCAAGATATCACATAAGATATACTTGAGAAAGTCGTAAAAAATAGAAGCTTTTGATCATAATTTTTCATTCCATTCTTTAAAGGTATTTTTTTAACTGCAAATTTATGTATAGTTCATATTAATGGCTTATTTATTCATCTTTGATTATATTCAGATTTTTTTTTTTAGTCTTTTACCTAATACATTATATTTATTGGTTTGGTAACATGTTGCAGCTAAGTTGGGATTAAACACTTTAATTGATATGTGGCAAGTGCTTAACCCAAGACTACTACTGATTTTTTTTATTCTAATCAGTTTCACAGTTTCACTTAACTTGCATTATAAACAAAAATAATAACCTAAATGAAAAACTATTAGGATAGTACTCTAATTAAAAATCAGAGTGTATCTCAATACCAGAATAACTTTTGGATTACTACATTATAGTTGTGTTTATTTGAAAAACCGAGACATAACTATACCTTTACCATGAATTATGAAATACAGTCTTATATGCTTATTTACAGGTTTTCAGAAAGTTGCTTTATATTCTTCACATCAGGTTAATACCCACAAGTTAGCAGAACAGTTTTTACATCAGAGAAATTGAAACTAGGGTTCCTGCTTGGCCAATCAATATAATGCTATCCGCATAGTGCTCCTTAAAGAAAAAAAATCAATAGTATGAAAGCTATAGCCAATTCCTTTAAAATTAACTGCTCTAAGTTTTGCAGTTTTAACAAGATCTGAAATGATGGTTCAAAAAAATACATTCATAATAAAAGTCTTAACAATCATAGTTGAAATGGTG